TTTTCCTGGAGAAGCTCAAGCTTCCTGCCAAACCCATTAGTAAAGAGGAGGGATGACCATTCAGGGTAGTGTCCTGCTCAGGCTGCTTCAGCTTTCACTGGGCTCAGTCTGCCTGTGATTGCCTTAACCCCAACTTCCAGCTCTGTCTCTATATTTCTATTGTTTTCATTTTCTTTTTAATTTTACTCTTTTTTTTTTATTTTGTTTTGTTTTGTTTTTCAAGACAGGGCTTCCTTGTGTAGCCCTGGCTGTCCTAGAACTCACTCTATAGACCAGGCTGGCTTTGAACTCAGAGATCTGCCTGCCTCTGCCTCCCAAGTGCTGGAATTAAGGGCCTGTGCCAACACCACCCAGCTCAATTTTACTTTTAAATTCATTATACTTTGAAACATGAAAATGGGTGTCATAATAAATAAGAACAATACTATCTGGAAACCAAGTCTTCTATGTCAGAATTGAGCTTGAGAAGAAGGTGGTCCCTCTTGATGGGCAGAGGACCCACAAGTCTGCTGAGAACTCATGGGGGGAAATAAGCATCTCTGACCACAGAGGAGAGGGATTACAAAGTACTGGAGTGGCTTACCTAAACATGAAAATGAGAGATATTGATGCCATATGCAAGACTGCGACACTTCTCATTCTTCACCCAGATGTATCCCTGGTACTTAAGGAAAAAGTTTTGTGCACATCTTTCCCCAGTTACTATTACGCAGGAGACAACAGATAAAATTACGAGATGAAATGTTCCACTGGGGACACCACTGTTCTTTGCTCCCCAGTGAGATCTTGTCATCTTACGATAGACATTAAAATTACAGACCTGCGGAGAAATCAGCTATAAACACCATTTACATGCTAGTTCTTGGATGTGCTAAATCTCCCCACACCTCCACCTGGATAGGTGCTTCTTTATCCCACAGCCATAGAATCCACTGGTGACCAGCTTGGTCCTAAGCAGGCATTGGAAGGAACCAAACTGGATTGCCAGGTGAGGTTTTTGGTAGCCTCAGATTACACATCTATTTCCCAGCATCCTACTCAGGCAAGATGCTCAGTGAGAGAATTTTCTTTTTAGGATATAGAGTCTTTTAGTTGAGACTTAGAAAAATAGCTTTGTACCTTAATAAACAATTCTAACTATCCGTTTAGCTTTCAAATAATGTAACTGGATCAGTACTATAGTACCATTGATTACATTCTATTGACTTTAACATTGCTTATCCTGTACAGTAGCAGAGAAGAGGAACGTTTTAACTGCTGCTGATTAAGTACTCTCTGTTTTACCTCTTTGATATGTATAAATAAAATAAAATTATGATCGGATGATTGGCACGTGTGAGTTCTAAGTTGAGAAATTTAAAATAATACTATTACATACTTTAAGCTTATGGAGATGAAGTTTGTAACAAAAACATTGCCTCCTTTGCCATAACCTCACGTTAGTGAAAAATATCCACAAGTATGGCCTTGGGAAAACAGTTCAAATTGGACCTTCACAAAATACAAATTAATGATGCTAGTTCATAAACATGTCTCCTCCCGGTTAGGAAGTATCAAAGAGAGAACAGGGATGCAAGCTTCCATGATATAATTTCAGAACAAATAAAGGTGTTTGTTCCCTTTTCCTGGCCCATTTCTCTGCTAAAGGGTATTCCCAAAACTCACTTTGTTTAGAGCAAACTGTGGGGAAGTTGAAGCCAATTCTACCTTGTTCTTTTACATTCAGGTTTTACCCCTCATTTATACCACGGGAGAAATTTATCATAAACAGGTATTTCTTTGGTCATCATTAAGGTGCAAGAATATGGTGAGAAAGGGAAATTAAATCTGTTTGGCAGGAAAGCTGGCTTAACTCCCGTCTCCTCGTGGAGCTGATCAGGGAGCCATCCTCCTGGCTCCCAGTAATGTCCCGGTAATGACAGCGTGGTGTCTGAGACAGAGGTCCTCTGAGGTTTCCTGTTTCTTTTCTTCAAGGAGCGCTTCCTTTTCTACTGGCTTTTTCTCAACAGAGATGTAGAAGTGGTGGTGGCGTTCTATTAAATGGGCTAGCTGCAGGTGTGAGCCCCAAGCTCTGCTCTATAATCTTGCCACATTACAAAAGCAATCCACAATTTTCACCCCTGCACTTTGCTTTATTCCAGTTGCATACAACTCTGACATTGGGGGTGATGTTCTCCTCCTCCCTGGGGTGCCAGCCTTTTCTCCCCCATGCTCTTCGTAGTTTCCCAGCTAGAACTGTGCCCCACAGTTAAAAAAAAAAAAAATGCTGCCCAATTTAGCCTCAGCATAAACTCATCTGCATGAAGCAGGACCGGTTTCATGTCCCAGAATCTTTGGTCCATTTTGACTTTGTAGATGGTAATGAGGACAACGTTGGTGAAGTGGGGCTGTAGAACAATGACAAGCCAAAGCATGGTCTTCCGTGTATGTAAGGATGGTCACGTGCTTCTTGGCCCTGGACATGAATATTATTTATACTTCACCCAATTTTAAGATGCATGGATGATTATTCTTATGCTATACATGAGAAAATACATGGATCCTCCAGATCTGCCCCCTCTAAATATGACTGCCCACAAGATAGTAAGTGTCCACACTTACTGCTGCCTGCTAATGGGTTTTTGCTTCCCTATACTCCCTGTTTCTCCCCTGACTGTTGGCCTGAGTACAATGACTTGACCATTCACTACTATTCTGGGGACCATTTGATGATGCCTCACGTCATAAGACTGCCCATCAATTCCATAATGGCAAAACACAGATGCCTAGAATATCTGCTCCTGTGATCCATGCAATAAAGGTGTCTTGACTCTATTATTCTTCCTCTGAAGGTTTTGCAGATATCACTACCAGCTCAGACTTCTCTTTAGTATTTCTTTACATTTTCTTTTCTTAATTGTCCACTGAGGCTTTCCTTCCTCATTTCCAAGGTAGTCTTATCTGATGTGACCAGTTTCCAAAATCCTTGTTATTTTCCTTGTGATTCATGTCTATGTCTGTGATCCACAAGTGAGCATTGCCTGCGGTGGACAGAAGGGGGCGCTGGTTCTTCTCTAACTAAAGTTACAGTGGTTGGTAGCTGCTGTCTGGGTGCCAGGACTCAAACCCAGGTGCTTTGGAAAAACAGCCAGTGTGTCTGACTGCTGAGCTATCTCTTCAGCCCCCCAAATGCAATGTTCATGCTTGGTATGTACGGTGAGCCAGGTATTCTCTCTACAGCCATAGTTCCTGCGAGCCAGGCTCGAGGAGGGTCTCCCAGACTACTCTGCAGATGCCAGAGAACATCCATTCTTCTAAACCAAGCGAAATGAAGCAGGCAGGGTGGAAGAGAAGATACTAACAGGATACTTTTTAGCTTGTGTTTATAAGGGGTTCACATCCTCCAGAACCCATTTGCTAGTAAAATAATGTACTTGAAAGAAAATAGTGATGCACCTTATTTCACAATGCATAGAAATATTAAACATAGGTATATAATGATGGTGGTGTGTCCTACAGAAAATTTGGAAAGTTAGGGTTATATTTTCTTTTGTCTCGCCTCATGCTTCAAGGGTGAAAATATCGGTGGGTGCTTCTAAATGCACCAAATTGTGTCACTTGTCTTACTCAGTACTTAATAGAAAGATGTCATCTTCCAGTCACACAGGGTTGGCACATATAAGCACTCACAGAGACTGTGGCAGCATGCACCAGGTCTGTACAGGTCTAAGTCAGATGGAGTCCTGGCTCTGAGAGGCGGGCAAGTGGACATGAGCTTCCATTCCAAACCACACCTAAGGGCAGGTCCTATGCCCAGCAGTAGATGGTCAACACACAACAAACTCAATAGTGGATTTGTAGATTTTTTTCATCTCATATTGCTTTGTTTGGGCACTTTTTTTTAATCTTACTGGTTTGGTATTTTTATGAGGGGTGTGTGTGTGTGTGTGTGTGTGTGTGTGTGTGTGTGTGTGTGCTTCTTGTGCTTTTTCTTTGTTTTTTCTTTTATTCTGTTATTATTATTATTATTATTATTATTACTATTATTTGCCTGTTTGTTTTCTGAAGAAAGAGAGAAAGAAGGTGTAGAGTTGGATGGGTAGAGACATGGGGACCACCTGGGCAGAATGTGGGAGAGGAAATTGTGCTCAGAATATATTATATAAAAAATATTGTCAATAAAAAAATTAAACTGAAAAAATCTTGGGGCTGCTGCAGACCCCGCTCCCCCTTCCTGATAGTGGATGGCATAAGAGGTGTTTGTCATTTATCTGACATCCTTTTGCTCACTAACACTCAACATCCTTCGGTCCCTCTTAGCAATAGCCAATCCTGGACCCAAAAGGGAACTCATCAACCTCCTTCTCTGCCCCCTCCCTTTCTGCGCTCTAAACACCTGGCTGGTGGGGAGCGGCAGACTATGATTCTTTTACATGTTTTCCTCCCCAAAATAAAACTCTTTATTGCCAAAAAATAAGAACCTTGGGGAGATGGCTCAACAGTACATAGTGTCTTGCAGAGGATCTACATTTTGTCCCCAACACCCAAATCATGAGCTGACAAACCAGGTCCAGAATACTGACCTTCTTCTGGCCCCGGCAGGCATCTGTGCTCACAGGCATACACATGCACACACCTACAGACACATGCACATAATTTAAAATCTAGAGGCTTGGTTTGGTTTTGTTTGTAATCTTTAACATTTCTATATTCCTTTAGTGTCCTATATTACAAAATTATGTGGTCTAAAAAGCCAAGAAATAATTTATCCTTACACCTTAATTTAATTCTAATTCTACTAGCCATATGCATTCCACATATCTGCAGAGAAACATGTCAGCCTATGTTTCTACTGGTTAGTAAATGGATTTTGTTCAAATGAACTAGTCATCTAGCATGACAATTTAAAAAGCATGTGAGATCTATACTTTCTCTTTGGGAAGGTAAAGAGAAAAAGTGTAAAATTCTACCAGAGACTATTCTAAGATTTCAATAACTTTGTATCTTCTATCTTTTAACAGAGGCTGAATTGATCAACTATTGAAATAACTGTACTAAATAGCCCAAGTTACATGTATGAACTTTTTTATAATAATAAAAAGCAATTGCTTCTTTTTTATAGACATCATTATATACCAGAAACACTCTCATACTTGGTATGTATACTTCATCTTTTTCTCATATGAGATCTCTACTTTCTAAACTATGACTGTGAATATTTTGTAAACAAGATGACTGGACCTTGGAGCTGTAGACTGCTTAAGATCACACTCATAGTATAGCAGCTCATAGGGTGAACACTCAATCAGGGTGAAATCATAGTCCACGTGTCCCAACGCTCCCTCTGTTGATGTATCAAGATTTAGTCTGGTGACAAATCAGCTAAAATAAAGATAATGCTGAAGTAAAGTTCCTAAGGACTTATCTGATCCACTGATCCTGTGCTTGGAAGAGTCTCAGTTCCATTTCTTCTCAACTTCCTCATTTAAGTCTACCAAAAAGATGTAACTGTTACTACATACCGACAATCAAAAAGATGCAGGTCAAGGGGTCAAGGTTGTATCTCAGATGTGCTCACCTCACATTCACAGTGCCCTGGGTTCAATCTCAGGTACCACACAAACCAGGTTTAATGGTATACACCTATAATCCCACCACAGAGGGTGTTGGAGGCAGGAGGATTAGAAATTCAAGATCATCCTTAGCTACACAGTGTCTTCGAGGCCAGCCTGTGCTACATGAAACCCTGTCTCAGAAAGAAGGGAAAGGAGGAGGAAGAGGAAGATTAAAACCAAATAAGACATTGCTCTTGCCCTGAAAAAAAAAAAAAAGGTGCTGATCAAGAAATACTCGCGCTACTCTATGGCAATTTTTATTGTATAAGAAAGTGTATTACTGTGGGAGCAAGCGCGGGAAACGGAATCCAGCCGTGACTAGAAAGTGATGGGAGAAGAGCGAGCGGGGATGGCTTCTGGAGAACATGAGAAGACAGGTCAGGGTGCACTGTGATTGGTCCATATGTTTCCAAGAGGGCAACAGTGTTGGCTGAGATTGATGAAGACAGCAATAGGTAATAAATGACTTCTCTTGCTTTGCTTTGAGATGTGCCCTACGTGTTTCTTTCCCCAATAAGATGAACAGAAACGACCTCCTGTACGATAACAATGGCATAAGAAATGCCTTTTTTTCTGAGATTGCCTTTGGGATCTCAGCCAATACCATCCTCCTGCTCTTCCTTGTGGTCACGTTCTCTCGGGAGCCCAGGCACAAGCCCACTGACTTGATAACTGGACTCTTGGCTCTGAGCCACGTAGTGATGCTGCTCACCATGGCCGTCATAGCTACAGACATTTTGGGGTCCCAGAGTTTTGGGGATGACTTCACGTGTAGATCAGTTATCTCCTTGTACAGGCTGATGAGGAGCTTCTCCATCTGTGCTACATGTCACCTGAGCATCCTCCAGGCCATCGTCCTCAGCCCCAGAAGTGCCTGTTTGTCAAAGTTCAAACATACATCCTTGCGTCACAACACATGCTGCTTTCTTTCCCTGTGGACCTTCTGTACGTCCATTAGTGGATTCATGAACTCCATTGTTGCCACCCCCAACGGGACTTCACACACTCTTATACTGGTCACTAAGTCCTGTTCTCTCCGGCCCTTTAGTGACTTCTTCAGATACGTACTTTGTGTACTGGCTGCCTTCCGGGATGCCGTTCTCGTCGGGCTCATGGTGCTTTCAAGTGTGTACATGGTAAGTGTCTTGTGCAGACACAAGAGGCGCTGTTGGCACCTTCACAGCACCAGCCCCTCCCCCAGAGCATCTCCAGAGCAGAGGGCCATCCGTACCATCCTGCTGCTACTGAGCTTATTTGCAGTCATGTACTGTTTGGACTGCATTGCCTCCTCCTCGAGAAGCATGTGGAATAGTGACCCAGCTCACCGTTGCGTCCAGATGTTTGTGTCCAGCGGCTACGCCACACTCAGTCCTTTGGTGTTCATTAGCACCGAACAACGTATAGTTAACTTTTTGAAAGCCATGCAGGGTGGACAGTAAGTGTTCGATTATTCTGTGGTGAACAAGCTTCCTTAATATGAACTAGTACATTGGCTTAGGGGTAATCAATCGTGGCATACCATGCATGATCTCTGGGTTAGATAAAAAGACAGACATAGAAACATTTTCTCTGTTCAACCTATTTTTGGTACATGCATCAAAAAGTACACAGTCTACCATTCAAGCTTATGTGACTCTGAAATAATACAAGTTACTAATAATTTCAGTTGCCTGTAGTGGTATTTGCTCAGCCCATGACCTTGGGCTATAAGGCCCAAAAGAGGCCATTGTATGTGACCTCTTATGAGGAGTTGGAGAAGGGTCACATGCCCCTTCACCCTGCTCCTGCCTGTGACATAGATTCACTCCCCGTCAGATCAGAAGATAACTTCAGCTGTCTTCTCCGTTCTGTATTCGTGAGTGTATTTCCTCAATTTATATCCTAATAAATTCTGTGACCCATTTAATAGACTCACGTGGATTGATCATAATAGTTGTGGCCAGAAGGAAGACTCAATCATTACAACACAGAGTAGCTCATATTATAGGTGAGAATTTACAACACTTTTTATACATCACTAGTCATGGTGGCCTATATTTCATTAACTAGGTATGTAAACTATTATTATCATGAATCACCATGATATACACTATGATCTACAAACATAATGAAAATCCTATATGAATCTAGATGGCTTTTTTTTTAACAGAAATATGTTTGAAAATCTAAAATCCTCCATAAAAAGACACCACTTTTGTCTGAGGATGTCCCGCTAAGTGCAGGGGCTGCTACCCTCACAGTGATAGGAGGAAACAAGCACGTCTAGAACCTTAGCACTTTGGAGGTGGAGTCAGAAAGAGCAGATATTCAAAGCCAGATTTAGGCGCACAGTGAGTATAAGGCCAACCTAGGCTACACGAGACCCTGTCGAAGAAGAGGAGGAGGAGGCGGAGGAGGAGAAATTATTAGTCAATGAAGGCTCTTCCTTTGTGATACAAACTCAGGTTTTACACATGAAGAAGTCCCTCATCAGGTATCAGTGCCTTAGTCTTGGAATTCCCACAATCCAAAACTAATGAGAAAACACATCTCTATTCCTTATTAACTATCCAGTCTGTGATCTTCACGGATAACAGGCCAAATGGACTAAGCCAGGCCTTCAACAGGCAAAGCAAACTTGAGATACGACAAGGCTATAAGCATTAAACTTCCTGATTTCAAATATATCACAAAGCTATAATAACTGGGACATTATGATCTTGAAAGAACAAGGAACATATATATACTAACAAAAAATACAGACATATTCAGCTGTATATATGTGTGTATATATGTATAAGCATATATATGAGCATGTATATATATGAACATGTATATATATGAACATGTTCAGCTGACCTTTGACAAGGATGCACAATGGGGAGAGAACAATTGAACAAATGGTCCAGAGAACAATGGCAGAATATGAACTCTTATCTTATATCTAAATAATGAAACTGGACTATTATCTTATATCTAAAAGTTATGGAAATGGGTTAATGATTTTAAGGTAAGACCTAAATATATAACCTAGGAGAAAAACCCTGGCACACATTTACCACATCTCCCTGTCCTCTGAGAACATGACCATCATTCTGACTTGCTGCTTACTCTGTGTACACATGTGTTGACTCACATTGTACCACCCACTTATGCAAAGTTGTCAATCAAAAACTAAAAGAATAGAATAAATTTGTGAGGATAACTTTAAATTTTTTCATTTATTAGTGTGTTTGTGTGTGTGTGTGTGTGTGTGTGTGAGAGAGAGAGAGAGAGAGAGAGAGAGAGAGAGAGAGAGAGA